CGAGGAGATGCAGAACGATACGCGCAGAGAGACGAAGAACAACAGGAGATAGGAAGGGGTGGAGCGAGGGGGGGAGAGGGGAGAAGGGAGGAAGATCGACAGAGGGCAGAAAGTGAGTAGATAGAGAAAGGAAAGAAAGAGAGAGAAAGAGAGTTGGAGAACGAAAAAGGAAGGTCGAGAGCGAGCGATGGATAGATAAAAGAAAAACAGAAGAAGGCGACACGAGCAGTGAGACGAGAGATGACGGAGAGACGAGAGGAAGGATGGGGCGAAAGCTTGAGCTGTTAGAGGAAAAGCGAATGGAAGGCGAAAGCGATGGAAATTGTAGATAAAAAGGATGAAAAGTGAAAGTAAGAGACCAGAGAACGCGCACGAACGAAAAAAAAGGATGGAGAGCAAGAGCAGAGGGTCTATAAGTGAAGCGAGAGAGCGCTGAGGAGTTGGAGCGGCGGGATGAGCAGAAGGAGAGGAATTAGCATAGGAAGGCGAGAACAGCCAAATATAGATGAGCTGACAGCGCAGAGAGAGCAGAGAGAGAGGAGAGAGAGGAGACGAGAGAGACTGAGAGCGAGAGCAGGTAGGGAGAGAGGAAGAGAGATGTGTTTGAAAGCGAGATGAGAGAGGCAGTGTCACAGAGGCGGGAGGCGAGCGCATAAAGACGGCGTGCGCGAGAAGAGCAGAAACGAGTAGAGTAGCAGAGACAGACAGACAGAAGGCGAAAGAGGACGAGAGACTGAGAGCAGAGAGAGGATCGAGAGAGACCGCAGAGCAGAGAAGAGAGAGCGACAGAGAAGATAGAGGGACAGACAGACAGCGAAGGAGAGAGAGAGGGGCGGGTGTGGGCAGTGACAGAAACCAAACATAGTTGAGAAGCAGCGAGACAGAGGGCGAGGAGCGAGAGAAGATAAAGATATATGATAATAATTATATATATATATTATATAGAGCAGAGAGAGAGAGAGGACGACAGAAGAGAGACAGGATCGAGAAAGAGAGGAGAGAGACAGATAGACAGTCACACAGGACAGAGAGAGAGAGAGAGAGAGAGAGAGAGAGAGAGCAAAGAGAGAGAGAGAGAGAGAGAGAGAGAGGAGAAGAGAGAGGACTTTCCGGACGAGGAAGAGGAGAGAGAGAAGCAGAGAGAAGAGAGAAGAGACAGGCACAGGACAGACAGACAGACAGAGAGAGGAGGGTGCCGGCGGTGGGAGAGTGACAGAAGCCAACAACATAGTTGAGAAAGACAGCGAGACAGATATAATATATATATATATATTATATATATATATATAGAGAGAGAGAGACGAGACTGTGAGCGGCCGATGAGCAGATGAACATATATATATTGTATAGAAGAAGAGTTTTCAGAGAGAGACACTAGAACATTAGAGAGAGAGAGAGAGAGAGAAGCAGAGAGAGTCTGAGAGAGGAGAGAAGTGAGAGAAGAGGCGGAGGAGGAGAGAGGAGACTATGATGAGGATTATTTGAGAGAGAGACGGCAAAGCGGACAGACGAGAGGCACAGATAAGAAAGAGAGAGAGAGCAGAGAGGAGCGGGTGGGAGTGACAGGAAGCCAAAAACATGAGCCATGAGAGAGACAGCGAGAGATAGAGCAGGGCGAGAGAGATAAAGATATATATATACATATCATAGAGAGAGAGAGAGAGAGAGAGGAGGGTCGGCGACTGAGACAGAAGGCCAAAGATAGATGACGAGAAGATAGCGAGATAGAGAGAGCATTATATATATGTATATATAATATATAGAGGACGAAGAAGGAGACGCAGAGGGGGGGGGAGCAGAGGAGAGAGAGGGAGAGAGAGAGAGTGAACGAGAAGCAGTGCAAGCAGACGAGAGGCAGAAACACAGAGGCGCGAGCGAAGATTGAGAGAAGGCAATGCGCGAAAGAGACAGAAGAGAGGGGGCCGTCGGTGAGAGTGAGAGAAAGAGATAGGAAGGCAGACGGAGCGAGCCAGAAATATAGAAGAGAAGAGTCAACAGCGATGAGAAGGGAGAGAGGAACGCGCCTTGCGAAAGAGAGGGCCGGAAAGCGGAGTGAGATATCGTAGCGTGAAGCGAGAGGAGAAGAGATGGAGGAGAGAGAGATAGAGAGAGAGACGAGAGAGAGAATCTTCTGAGACGAGAGAGAGAGAGAGCACGAGAGCAGAGAGCATGAGAGATGAGCAGAGCAGATGAGATGAGAGACGAGAGCAAGAAGGAGAGAGAGAAGAGAGAGAAAGAGAGAGAGACAGAGGAGGGGTGAGGTGAGAGAAAGACGCAGGAATGTTACGAGTAGGCCAAACATAGATGAGAGAGACACGCGAATAGAGAGAAATAGCAGAGGGCCGAGAGAGAGGAGAGGCAGAGAAAGAAGAATCATAGACTAATAGTGTAAGTAACACTACTATGTTACCGTGAGTTTGTATCTGCGATTTCCCAGTGGCGTATATATCACTTAAGTAAGTTATATTATGAGGAATTCTGTGATATTGATAATTTCAGCAAAGTTCCGTTCATTCCAATGTCACTTGTCCGCTTTTCACAAGTACTTGCCCGCAGTTACTTGTAAAGTGATTTTATGGAATTCTTAGCGTCTAGTATAACTTTGTATTTTGTCTTAATTGCATTGCCAGAAAACTCGTGGACGCATAGAAATGTAGTAAAGAAATAGGCTAGAATCAGTAGTAGTAGTCATAGAAGCTAAGCTTTTAGAATAACATTTTATTTGTATAATCCATTGTACAACATTTTCATAATAACGACTGTTAAAAAATAAAATATTTAATAATGAAATAAATACAACTTTATTTAACGTCATATATAGAAGTCTTTAGCTAATTCTCGTCTGATCGAACCTATCTCTCCGCTCTCACTCTCTCCCTCTCGCGCCTGGCTCTCCCAGACTCGTACGCACTTCCACGCACGCTGTTAATTCTCTCCTCGCTCTCGCTTTCACCTGCGCCTTTCTTCTCTCCTCTGTGTCACTCTCCTCTCACTCTCGCCTCAACCTAAGCTCTAGAACTATAGCCCTCGCTCTAACGCAGCAGCGGCTATAACCACCAATACGGCCGCCGCAGGCCTTTGCTGGGAAGCCATTCGGGCTATAGTTCTAGCTAAACCTAAACCTATGCTGCCCCATTGCAAGCTTCCTAACCGCTTAACTGCCCCCCTCCCCCCTCCCCCCCCACCCCCACCTTGACCCTCCTTCCCCCTCCCCTATTCCCACCTTCCCCCCTCCCCTGTGCCCAATCCACCCCCTCAACCCCCCCCCTTCGATACCGCCTCGTTTTACTCACACGATTTTGCCGCGGATCACCGTCACGGATAGCCTCACCTGGAAAAGCTATCTCTACAATTATCATTTCACTTCAAATTTACAAATTACAAACATTTACAAACATTTACAAATGCAATAGAAAATAGACATCCATGATAAGGAATCAGTGCACTTCCAAAACTCAGTGTAACTGCCACATAGTGGCAAAGTTTTCAGCAAGTTGCAATTTGTACAATTTACACAATTATAAAATTAATAGTAATTATTAGTCAATTGATTCCTTATCATGGTACATCAACACTATCAACAGTTATCAAAACTAATAAGCCAGTTTTGCATTTAGAAAGTGCAGTGCATTTGGGAAGTTTTGGCTACTAAGCATAAAAATATTATATATCTATATGACAGTATGAGATGTATTTTGAAAAATGCTACTTTTAAGAAAAGAAATGTCTCTATGACACTTAGGACAATGAGTCTCACAACGAAACCATATGAGTTACGTAATATAGGCAAGCGCTAATATCCAGGGTGCCTAAATCGGATGCTGAAAATGACCTAGCCAGATAAATTTACTCCACTCGATATGTCCAAAACACAGATAATATTAAAGTTTTATAAGCATTATTATGCACTCATTATAATATCTAAATCAGGGGAAGCACTAAGGTATTATAGGCGAGTAGATTATTCGCTTCAATTTTGTGAAATTATATGCGATTGTGCCAGGGTAAACCTGCGAGCCGGACACCCCAACCCTAACTCCCACGCTCTTGGGAGGGGGGAGGTGCGATTTCCCATGCTCTGACCAGCCAAGTGTTGTCTCACCCACCCTGGCACACGCAAAGCAAAAACTGGCTTATTATTAGTTGATTACTGATCAATCAATTAAAAACTTTTATCAACTGCCACTGCCACTGCCATGAGTAACATATGTTCAGAATTTGTCACTAAAAAATCTGTTAAACTATTTCGATTACTGAATAGCTGAAGTCTAAAAACCGAACTCAATGAAAAACACGACTTTGCATTTGAGTAACGATGTACACACGGTAGCTAGACAACTTGACTTTAACAATGTGCATTTATACAACAGTTCTAGCATCAATGATTTACACACTTACAACTTCTGTCAGCTTGACGAAAACCTAGTACATAAGTGGGCTGGCACGTGCTAGTACTCAGGAGTGACAGTGTTTGCAGCTTCTCAATAAATGGTAGTTGGTGCTCCTGTCCTGTCCTGGGCTCCTCTCCTGTCCCGGGTCTTCTGTCCTGTAACCACATCAAAGACAACAATCTAACACTCACCCTCTAGAGGCTTTATAATACATAATTTTAACATACCATATTTACTCGTGCATATGACGCACCCACGTATTTTGCCTTGAAAAGTTGGAAGTGGATGAATCCACAAAATTTAGGAAAATGTAGAAAAACCCGTGATGTAGACGAAAGTCAATGCCAAAGCTCTTCACTAGGATCAAGAAAGGAATTACTCACTGTAGGGTAGAGCTAGTATGGAAAATTAGCATGCAAGATGTTTGAATTACCAAAAAGTTAGCATGCTCCAATCCCAGCTTCATGACCTAGCACATTGGCACCAATTATTCCTCTTCTCTCTCTGATATGCCTGCAAGGACATTGCATGAAACACATACAGAGTGAACGGATAACAAATAATCTAGCTTGCACCGGTATTTATATCATAGATAACCCACCAGCTATAATAATTCCTACGTTTTAATCTTGATTTAAAATTATAAAATCAGTTTACATATTTCTACAATTCAATAGTCATTTCTAAATTAAATCGGTCTTAAACATTGTCAATTGGTTCCAATTTATGTTTTTCATAGGAACAGCTGTGTCCCTATGTCACTGACACGATGACATGTGGACAGTTAAATGTTGCAATCATATACTTGTACTCACCTTGCTTAATACCTGTCCACCCAACACACAAGTCTTCATAACATGACAATATTTATCTTTGCCTGCGATGACTCATAGTCGCCGCTACTGGTACACTGTGGCTCGTTATTACGTTGGGCCTCATCAGTGCAGATGTTTCGCAGATTCTATCTGTTGGTTTTTTTCTTCGT